TACTGAGAGCTGAATTAGCAAGCATTCGTCAAACTAGTACATACCTTTCAGAACTGATTTTTCAAACTTCAGTAAGCCAGGCCCTGAAGGTTAAGCAGAATATCATTAAAATTGGCTTCAGCATTTTGACCTAGAGATTTTAGAGCTTCTACTAATAGCTTTAAAGGTGTCATTGTAAGAGCACAAGGAACTCCTGATTTTTCTAGTATGGGGAGCATAGAGACACATACAACTCTGATTTTATACACGGAAAAACATATTTGTAACTAAAGCCTTTGGCAGTTCCATCATGTACATCAGGACTGTCCAACTTCTAGGCAGCTGGGGACCGAGTGTCCCATCAGCCACATGCCATGCAGAAGCCCTTCCCTGCTGCACCATGCTCCCATGCCCCACCCCACCACTACACCATGCTCCAGCACTTTCTCCCTCTGCTGTTGCACTGCATGCCATGCAGTCATTCCCACCCCCAAAATGCTGCACTGTGTGGTCCTAAGTTCACACTGAGCTACCTGGGCTGGGATGTGCGGTGCAGCATTCAGCACAAGCCAGAAGGGAACCCTGGAGCACCCCCACCACACACGCCACTGCTGTTGCAGCCAGAATTGAAGGAGGGAAGAGCAGCCAAGCAGGAGTCCAGGGGCCACAACTGAACCCCTCACAGGCCACTTTCAGCTCACAAGCCTCCAGATGGATGGCCCTGATGTACATTTCATCTTAGCAAGTGTCCAGATCACTCTGAATAACAGAGAGGCAGTTAAGGCCAAGCAAACCAACTGTTGTCACAGCTGCCTGTGTTTAACAAAGCTCCTCTTCTTTGTTCACATTGTTTTTTGTGTCCACTGCCCAAAGGTGAGATGGATTTTTACCACAACTCCTCTATGAGGAGCCATGGTCAATTAAGATACCTTACGCATGTTCAGTGACATTGCATACATTCAGTTACAGTTAAGCCTCCTGTCTGTTACTGCCTTTCATCCTTTTGTGTCCTCTGCTTTTCAGTCCTTTTTTCCCTATTCACTGCAAAGAAGAGCCAGAGCAACATAAGGCATAAATTTAAGAGCACTTTTAAAGATGCAGCGAGGAAGAAATTGAGTGTAAAACAGTACAAAAACTTCCATATTTTGCCGAATAAATATGGCTCCTATGAGTACCCATTTATGGCTGTTGTATTCATGCATGATGCAGTCCACTTCAAGACATACTGGAAGTGGACATTGGGCAGTAGCTATGATCATTATCATGTGTCCTACAACAAGTAAATCATAGAGATGAGAGAGCTCAGAAGAATGGGAGTAGGATACAACGCTTTAATTTCTTCTCAATGAATTGAATCCAATTCCTGCTAGTTATGACCCAAAGTGATTATCTTACAGCTATTCATGTTCTTATTGACACAGGTCCTATCAGTGAATAATATTGCCCTCTCACATATATTAGTAGCATCTCCTGAACAAAGTTTAGGTACTGCCTAACAAAGTTTGCTGCCTAATGTACTTGCTGTGTGGAGAAAGGGAGGATTGCTGGCTGCCTCACCTTCAGTTCAATTAAAGAATTTTTTTTTTTTTAAATCGTGTTGGTCTAATAAAAGATATCATCTCTACAAGTCCTGATTGCCTTCACCTTCAGTTCAGCATTTTGCATCAAATTCATTTTCAAAGTAAGAAAGAGGTCATTATTGTGACTGACTCACTTTTACCCCTGTTAGCTGAACAAGGTTCGATTGATATTTAAGATTCAGCTGTCATTGGAGATAGTGTTCACGTCCTAAATTCAGCATAGACTCAAGTTCTGCTATTGTAGATACTGCTGCACATTATAACATCCTTTAGCCCCAGTAAATATATTCACACAATTTGGAGGCTAAATAAGTGTTCACATTTTTTATTGTTCAGTGCAGTGTTGTAATGCAAATGTGACACCAAGCAAAGGATAAAAAGCAAATGTTTTGTGTGTTGTATGGAACGTATTATAAAATTTACTTTGATTGAGGAAATGTCCCCAGTTCAGGACAGCAGTTAAGTACATGCCTAAATCTCACTGAATGAAAATGGAATTGTATAGTTTATTATGAATGTAGGTTCTCAACTGAAGAAACGGAGATGATTAAAAGAGGATCTACTATTAAGAAGAAGAGCAAAAATCTAAAGAAAGCATTTTTAAATGCTTGCCATGGCACCAAGGGCTTTAGATGGATGGCCTTTAGTTTGGAAGTTACATAAGTCTGAAATCTAGATAAATACTGTAATGAAATAGAGACCTTTGGCTTACAGAATGAGAGATAAGAATGGAAAGAGACTCACAACAGTAGAGAGAAACTTTTTATTTTTGTGAATTTTACTACTACTTAATATGAGATCCAAAATAACCCCTTAAGCCTTGATCTCCTGTTATCTCAGTGCTTTAATGGAAATGCAGTTATGATCCGCTATTTTTTTTAGTCTGAGGATGCTATATATTCTGAACTGCAACGATTCCTTTTGTTCAGTTTTACCTCAGTGTAACATTATATCATGGCTCTGAAATTGGTTAGCCCAAAACCATTGCAAACAAAAAGACAAGCTAGTAGCTGTTTGTATGTTGTATTGCAGTCCTTCCAATTTTTACTTGAACAGTAATAAAATGGTGCTAGAAAGATTTGCTTCTTCTAAAAGTATGATGTGTGTTGTGCCAGATCTTACAGTAAAGATAATGTTGTCAGGCCATTGCCTCAGTCATACTTTTAGGTGTGTTTTCCTGCATAAGTACAATTACTGCTGAACTGTTAGTAAAATTATCTTTGCTAGATGACTACTTGGGTTGCTTCTAAATATTATGTTCATGTTACAGTAGAATTATTATTTACACATTTTCATTATCATCATATTTTTATTCTCTCCTCCTCTATCTCAGTTCCATAACTATGGGCACACTGTTTCATGATTTGTGAACTATGAACTAGCTAATGACATTTTTTATAAGTTAAAATTTTAAATGCATCACATTGCACAGTGTGGATTGTGTTGCACAGTGTAACCTTGGAGACCAAGGTGACTGTGGTGTATGTATTTCAATATCCCTTAGTGTGTGTTGTGGAAAGTGCCAGAATAAAAATGTTACTCAGCAGATCAGCTTCACTGAAACAGATTCTCCCCTAAATTACATTAGTATAAATCCCAAGAGTCTTATTCTAGAGTTGTTCTGCAGTTGCACCAGTGACACACACAGCAGAATCCAGTCCTCTGGATGTATTCAGTCTGGGAGTTGCTCTTGTGGGAAGTCACATAAATTTTTACTTGCACATATCAGATTACTTGCCCACACAGTGGACATGTCTACACATGCACTTTCCTGTGAAGTAAACTTATTAGCTGTGAAACAAAGTGTCACCATCTACATATGCTAACTGTTAGGCTACATTACTATCTTATGCTGGGATAATTTACTGCGGTTAAATGCATGTGTAGATGCTGACTGTGGGCATAAATTGCACTCGCTAAACCCAGCCAGCTGGCAACTGGACTCCTGCCTGCCACCTAGCCACATAGCTGTACACTTTCAGGACCTTTGTGCCCCAGCCAGCCCCTTCACCACCTGATGCTGCCACCCAGAGCCAGAGGCCTGTTCCGCCCTGGCTCAAATTGCTGCTGTTCCTGGGTGCACATGTAGATGCTGCACCCAGGAGTAGTTTAGTCTGGCTCAAACTGGTTTGGAGTGTATTGCTTCCCATTAATTGCACATGTAGACATACCCAGTAAGTGAGCTGCATTTTATTACTTCTTTTGCATCATCTTCTGAACCACCAACTGATTTGCAGATCCATGGCAAGTCAGTTATAATCCTATTAACATCAGTGAGATTACTATCTGCCAGTAAGGTCAGAATTTGACCTGGAAAACCTTCTTACAAGTGGTGCATGTGAGGGTAAGGAAGCAGCTTGACTTTCAGGCCCCAGGTTTAATTTTCAGGATTGACAAGTATAAAACAGTTTTTCAAAGTATATAATTTGAGGATGAGCTTCAGAGAGATGTTAGACATGGAACCGATTATACTGTTTTCTTAAAATAATTTTTCAAATTGACTTGCACCTTAATGAACATGTGAATTCATTCAAATGCAACTTTCATGATCTATTTCATTCTGAATATTGTCAAACATAACCCAGTTATCTTTGCCTCCATGAACCACATGTTTCTCTAGATTTGTTTTTCATGCCTGCTAAGAATTTGCTGTTTAAAATCTTGGTACTAAAAGTATTCTATAAAATTATGTTTAATTACACACAGATATCCCAGAACCCAGTGCCTTAAGAATGCTGACAGCTCAAATCTATAATTTAATCACTTCTCTTTAGAACCAAAAGTCAGTATTGTTTTGCTATATTTTGCTATATCAGCTCAAGTAGTATCTAAAACCCCCAAAACATTTTTGCTTCTTTTTTTAAATCTCTCCAATCAAGTGGGGTTCTAAGACTAAGAAATGAGGTGATTTCTTTCTTTCTTCAACAATTTAATTCAGTCTGACGAGTCATATTTAATACTGAATTTTCTAGAGCTGACATTACTGAATGCAAATTATATTTAAAATTGAGGCTTCCATTCAAATGAAATATATTAATTATCCAACATTTCACATTCAAGATTTCTTAACAATCTTAGCCTTTCTGTAGCTGTTTATACAGATCTATTTGTTTCCTATAAAAGAATTACTTAATGAAGCAGAGAGAAAAAAGAAAGAGTGTTGCTCACTAATACAAAGCCTTGGTGCTTGACCATTTTAAAGTAAAATGTTGCAGTTTGTTGTAGCTCTTTAACAAGACCCATCTCCTTTGTGAAGAATGCAGATAATTTTTTTGCTGTCTCCCCCCCCAAAAAAGAGTAACCTGATATGAGTCTGACAGTGTGTCGTTTAGCTAAGTGTTTCCATCTGTTGCCTGCTGTTCCCTTTACTCATGACCTCTCTCTTTCTTTCTCTTTTCTTCTTTCTTTTTCCTGCTTCCCTCCTCTTTCCTTTCTCTTTAGCCCCCCTGAGGAAGGCAAAGTTTGTTGAGAGCCCTCGAATTCCAGAGTCTGAGCTTGGCTCACCAACACTTACTTCAGCACAGAAACTGGACGTTGATGCATACTGCCCTGGTAAGCATGCATGAAAAGTCTCTGCATTAGATGAGGAAGGCAGGCCATTCCAGCTCAGCAACATTTCCTATGCTTTGTATTTTCTTTTTATGAATAACTGCTTGGCCTTTCCCTAGCTGAGTTTTATGGATTTGCAGACTGAATGGGAGTTTCTAACTGATTTTTTGCCCTTTGTGTGTACAATTCCCCTTCCCCTCCAAAAATATATTAAGAAGTTACTATAGAGCTGTTTATAGCTGAATAAAAAATGATCAAATAGGAATGCTGTTTTCTAATGACACATCTTCAGAGATGCTGGAATCAAACATATACTGCTGGTGTATTTCTTCCCTTAATCATTTAGTACAATGGCCATACGTTCCTGAATATCTGCATGTAAGGGCATTGCATTTTATTTCGTAGGTAGCTATCAGTTTATGTATCCCACAGAATTCAAGAACTCTGAAAATGTATGCATCTTGTTACAGGCCTCTGGAGTACAATGATTAAAAGCATAAATAGAACTGAATGATCTCCTAGACTTAACCTTACATTTGTCTGACTTTTTTGGGCAGTCAGTTTCAAAATATCTCCAAACGCAGACAGACCACTTGCAGATGTGTGAATTCCATTAAATCTTTATATAGCTGTATCTTGCTGAGAACTCGGTATCATTTCCCAGATTCTTCTGAACTTGGACTAGTTGCTTGGAAACCTCATTAAGGTTGGGAAGCTGTGTCAGAGGTGTTACAGCTAGAGTAGGCTGAAGATCAGTCTTTTGTTAAAGGAGCAAGAAGTGTTTGTTTTCAAATCTTTGCTGAATTCTGCAGGTTCTTCTTCTGACTGTTCAGTAATTTATAAAGCAAAGGGCCATATTATCCTCATATTCCTGGACTGTGGTAATATGGTTCCAAATAGAATTTGGTCATGCATGGCATTTATAGATGTGCTCCAGGAGGCTTGCGGGGGGGAGGGACGCTTTAATTAGCACAGCTAATTAAAGCTCCCAGAGCATCACATGCATCAGTGTCCCCACACTGAAAAATAGCGGCAGGGGTGTTTTAACTAAAGCTCATTCAATGAGCTTTAGTTAAAGCACCCCTGCTGCCATTTTTCAGCATGGGGATGCTGATACACATGATGCTGAAGTCTGCTGGAGCATGGTAATTACCATGCTCCAGCAGGTTCAGTTAATCAAGTCTGCCCCAACACATTGTAATTACAGTGCATTAGAGCACTCTCCCTGCACGTGTGTAGGCGCATGTAAAGTCTTGCTTTTCAAATTGTATCCGCCTGGAAAGCAGATGATCATTTCAGTCAGAGATAAATTTAAAGAAAATAAACTGGTGGATGAAAAGCCATGTTTGTTTGTTTGTTTTTTTACAGATTGGTGGTTAAACAGCTTTTTATAATGTAACACAGGCATGTCAAAGACATGGCCTATGGGATGAATGTATCCTACTCACCTAGCCCATGGAGCTCCTTGAGGAGCCAGGAATTAGTGTGTGATGTGAGGGTGTGGGACAGCTTTGTCAATCCCTATAGCTCCCTGAGCTGATGCAGCACTACTTGTCCCACCACCACCACTCACCTGAGTGGTAGGTCTGTTGTCAGCCTGTCTGGATCCAGTCCAGGGTGGCTGGGAAATTTGACACCCCTGATGTAACATGTTTGAAGTAGAGGGAAGTCTTTAAGAAAAATGCATTGATGCTTGGAGAAAGTTTCATCTAAGGCCATGTTTGCTATGAGAAAAGTTCATTCTTAATGTATTTGTGATATATTGCAAAGAAGATATTGCTGATAAAAAATTGTCCCTTCTGTCTAAATACTTCTTACTATGAAAATCATAATTAGGAAAAAACACTGTCATGATTGTATTTATAAAGCACTATAATTGATCAGTGTACTTTACATTAAAAATACAAAAATCTCTCATTCTCTCTCTAAATATGAATATGAGACAAAATTTGGAAGATGCTGACATGATCCCGAAGACCTGGGAAAGACACAGGGCAGAAATGTTGCTTTAACAGTGAAATCTTATATTTTGCTTTCTGTTCTGTTTCTCCAGCTTGTTGAAAGCATGGATGAACATGTAAAATAACATGGGGGTTCCAGCATCCCAACGTGCAAGAAGGGTAGCTTTAAAAAGCCTCTTTGATGCCAGTAGAAGCACTGGCTTAGAGTAAAAGCAGGCAGATTATGGGAGGCCTGGAGAATTTTTTGTGTCTAGATCTATTTGTTAAGATACCTGTCATGGGGAACCTGACCCCCTGATGTCTGAGTACACATTTGGCATCCAGCAGTTCTTCCAGCGAGAGAACTACAGTTTATTAGATCCTAGAGAATGCTGAGTTTGAATGCCTGTGTAAACCTCAAATATGCAGCTATTTACATTTGTTTGCAATACGTGAGATGCAGCTGGATAAGAATAGAACAACATATTGAGGAAGGGCTTTTGAAACTGAAACATCCCTTTACACAGAAAAGTTTGTATAGTATGCAGTTTTCTGTTCCTTTGTCCCCTCCTCCCCCTGCAGTGTTTTGGAATATTAAAATGAGGTATGTACCTGGAAGCAGTACTTCATGGCTGTTTATTTCTCTTTTGTGGTAGAACTAGCTTATGCGTTAACTATCTGGATGCACAGTTCATATTGTGGAAACAGAGGTAATGTGAGGGATGGAGTTCTAATTTTCCACTCATAAATTTAGAAGAAAACTTTAGCCTTCTGTTAATTTTTTTCTTATTAGAATATAACCTCTCGCTTACATTGAGGTATTGTGACTAGTCTGCTTTATTACATACTTAGTAAAAGGGGGAACTGGCAAAGCTTCTGAAACATTTCACTCTAAAACTCCTGATTCCTATTTGGCTCACGTTTTAGTGAAGTTATCTATGTGTAAAGAATATGGGGCTTGGCATTTCCAGTACAGATTTCTAGGCTAGGGACAGACATTCAAAAAGCCTGAGCCTGAATTGATTCAATCTTTGCAGGTTAGTCTAACCTGACTAGGCTGAACTGGGTTGAAACTAGACAGATAGTCTCTCTGGACTGAGGAAATTCGAGCACGTGCCTGCAGTGGCTCAGGCTAAAAGCCAGGAGGTGCTAGAGCAGCCCTCCCTTCCCTTCTGCAGGGAGCTGAGCTGAGGGGAGCGTGGCCAGCCCCCAGCGGGACTCTCATTAGGGAGGTCTGCCTGCACGGTCCCAGGCTTTTCCCTGCTTGCTGTTCAAGGGGCAGGAGTGTTGCCAGCCCCCAACCCCAGGCTAACACTCTGAGGCAAGGGGGGTGTGCAGTGCATGCATCTGTTGACGATACGGAGCTTTTCAGTCTCCCTCCCTGCTTTGTCATACTGTCTGCAGTAAACTGACAGGTGAGCGAGCCAGCTGGGGGGCTGATAAGTCTTTATCACCCAAAAAGCAAAACAATAGCATGTTTTACATTACTTCAAACTTCTTAAACAGTTTACCAGCTGCCTGTTGATTAGCTCCAAAAGCCTTAAGCAGTCACTGATCTGTCTGCCTATCCCAGTGAATTTGGAGAGAGAGACACACAGAGACATCTCTCGATATTAGCTAATGTACCCCATGCTGGCTACAGTCCCTGTTGTGGCAGAGGGGAGAAGGGATCTCTGCTTAAGCAATGAGTGGAGGGGGAGAGGGGGACATGAGGAAGTCAGCAGAGCCATCTCATCTCAACCCAATCATCAATTCATCAGGCAAATTAAATACTGAAATACTTCCTTTGTTCTGTGACAAGCCATCTCAAACCTCTCCCTCTTTGAATGCTAGGCCCTGAACTTTATCACATCTGATCTGCTTTAAACAGGGGCTAACCTTAAAAGTGTCCTCCCCCCTTCCCCCTCCCCCCCCCAAAAAAGAATAAAAATATCTGTCAGCAGTTTGCCCTCTCCACCTGCAGTTCTGCATAAGGAGAAAGACAGGTAGGGTAAAAAGTAATTTACACATTTCAAAGTAAAAAAATGCTACTATATATTTCACTTGGAAACTAAGAAGCAATGAATTTAAATTCTGGGATACTAACATAAAAGATAACAAATGGCAGTTGAAGTCTGTGTCAGGTTCAGTTTCCAGCTGAATTTAAGCTAAAACCTTCATAAAGCACATTGTAATAACCTAGTCTTGAAGAGATAAAAGTTTGGCAGTGACAATATCTGGATTTAGAAGTAAAATCTGTTGCTCCTTGACTGTATACATAAAGTGACAAAAAGCCACCATAGATGCCTCATCTTCCTATCCGGGCTCCCTACATTTCAAATGTAGACAGATGGCCACACATCCTAACTTGAAGGGACAGATGCCATCCTTTTCAGAACCTGTGGTTGTCCTCATTGGCTAATATTAACTCAGTCTTGTGTAAATTGAGCCTCAGCCATCTCACTCAAACACATATTAGTGGTTCGTTTATCAGTATATGCATGTGTGGTGCATCCTGGTCTGCACCAGCAACCTCGTCCTCTTCGCCAAAGATGCCGCCCAGCTGCAGCAGATGCTGAACGTGACGTCTGAGGTGGCCAGGTGGATGAGACTGCACTTCAACATCTCCAAGTGCGCCTCCCTGCACATCGACGGCAGGCAGAAGAGCCGCGTCCTGGATTCCACCCTCATGATCTAGGACCAGGTGATGAGGCACCTGTGCGGCAACAAGGACTACTGCCACCTCAGGAAGCCCACTGGCCACCCACCAGGCCAGGCAGATGCTGGAGGAGACCATCAACAGGTTTATGCAGGATGCTCACAAGCTAGACTCGTCCCTGCTGGGCCCCTGGCAGAAGATAGATGCGGTGAACACCTTCCTTATCCCCCATGTCTCATTCGTCCTGAGAAACTTGGCAGTCCCCAAGACTGCCCTCAAGAAGGTGTACGCTGAGATCCGGCAGCTGCTGAAGAAGTGGCTACACCTGCTTCTGAGGGCCGGCAATGAGATGCTGCACATCCCCTACTGGCAGGGAGGTGCCAACATCTCCCCCATGGGAGACCGCTTTGACATCGTGGTGGTCA